TTTAGTCACCGAGACGCTACAAGGTCAGCCTCGGGAGAATCGCGCTGTCTCCCGGGGGAGGTTGAATCAAGGCGCCCCGCTATAACCTGTCTCTAGTCGCCGTACTAATTAAGCCCCCATGTTTCGGGTAATTAATGACCCATGTTTTATAGCGCTGTCGGATAGAACCAAACAAGCCATGTTTTTTTCTCTCTGTGTGCTCTGAGTAATAAGAGGGATTCTGGTAACGAGCCAGTGAATTATGACTGGGAAGGAAGCGGTGATCGCTGGCCACACGAGTTTTAAATATAGTTTGCTCTCTCATAATGAACCACATTTGATGGAGAGAAAAAAAAATCAGCGTTATTTCAATGTAGGCATGCAGGTTAATAAACGAACAATCTTCCTTGCACTTTTAACAGCTGTTTATTAACTAAAAATTATAAACGCAAGTGTGTAATTTTATCCAGATGATTTGAAGCTTGATTTTTTTGGGAGTGAACTTGATATGGTCAGCCAAGAGAACTAACCGTTACAATGTATGACTTTGTCACCGTGACACACGGTCGCTAAATTGCCGTGTCATGCTGTAGGCATTCAGAAACTGTTGCAGAAGTTTCTTTGCAATCCTCCATAGTTTGTTCACTTTTGAAATTTAGATTTAGTGTCTGTCTGTATCTTGCAGTGGACGACTCATTGAGGGCGCTTCGTGGTTCACCATTATTTTCCACAGTCCACCCTGACTGATTTGTTTCAGTCGAAGGGTTCTTGTTTCGTCTTTTCGAAACCTCGATTCGGTCTCGGTTCGGCTCTCCCGAACTCGGGAGAACTGCGGCTCGGGAAAACAGGGGCGGATCCAGGAATTTTCGCGGGGGCGGGGGGGGGGGTACATCAGCAAAAAAAGCCTGAAAATGTACACAGGTTTTTTTCGCCTGTAAAAGTTGTCCCATGTTTTGTTTTCTTTCACGAGCATCGCAAGCATCAAATCCGATAACAAAACATGATGCCAAAGTGGAGAGTATTCCCAAGTGGTTTAGACATTGATCGGGCCCTTAAATGATTCTGAAGCCGGAGGTGCAGCCGAAGCCGGGGAGGAAGCCTGGATTTCGGAAACTCCCAGTGATCTAATGACTATTGTTCTAAAAAAAACCCCCAAAAACAAAACAAGTCGAACCAGCTGCGCATAGTGTATACGCAACCGGCTCACCCCAAAAAACTGGATACTTTGTTAGCGCATGAAGGTGTAGTCAACGAATAACTTTTTAGCCGAAGTTTAGGCATATCAGCACTAGAAACAATTTTAATTGCTCTGGGACATCTGAAAGATGAACATTGCAGCGAAGCCGAGGGTGCAACGTGATCTCGTTGCACTCGACACATGACCATTACATTCCAGACCAATGAAATATATGTTCCAATACCCGATATAACACTGTATTTTTGTTTATTACGATAAAACATTCGATAAGTAGGAAACAAGTCAATTTTATTTTACGCAAAAAGATCCAACACATCTGTCTCGATATCTATGCGTCACATCCTGCAAGAGTCAACCCAAGTCACCCCGATGGCGCCAATATCTAAGATAACGGTCAAATGTAGTCAGAGAGGGTTCTCATTGATGGCTTAAAGGGGGCGTGTAAAGGTGGACAGAGTTTCTCGGAAGCGCCACCGTGCGGGAGCGTCAGTGTTGTAGTACTCGTACTCGTACTCGGTACTCGTACTCGAGTACTACTCGAGTACTTTTTTTGGAGCACTCGTACTCGAATGTCAAAGTACTCGTACTCGAAATGACAGTACTCGTACTCGGGCAGCAAAGTACTCGTACTCGACATGTCGAAATTGTACTCTCGTACTCGAAAAGCAGTACTCGGGGGAAACAATGGTACACAGCTTCACTTACCATGGCCTTATTTTATCGATACTTTCAGTTTGAAATGGTTGATTGCCTTGTAGAATCGAGATTTCCTGATTTTCCTATGTGCACGTCCGGACAAACACATTTAACAGCTAGCCGTGAGGGGGTCTGTAGATCGGTCTGACTGGGCCTGGGCCAATTACGCACAATGAACCATTTGCCGTATGGCCGTATTCGGAAATGCGAGTACTCGTACTCGGAAGTACTCGTACTCGTTCTCGTACTCGTTCTCGTACTCGTACTCGGAAGTACAAGTACTCGTATTCGGAGTCCCGTTCTTGTACTCGGAGGTACAAGTACTCGTACTCGGACTCGTACTCGGCAACCTAAGCACTCGGCAGAACTCGGTACTCGGAAAAAAGTACTCGACTACAACACTGGAGCGTGATGAGATTACTACGGTGCTGGCTTTAGCTTCTTCATAGGCGCATGCTCGCACATGCTTAGATTGTTTCTTTTTCATTTGAGTTCAATGCAGCCTTTCTTCTCTTTGTAACCTCATGATCCACAGAGACAATCATTTTTAGGCTGGCACGTTTAGTCTCCTCCTAAAGGCGCACACATTTCTCCCTTCGTTAGAGCCACATATTTGTCGAATTCGGAATAAATGTTAGGGGCCTTGGTGGCGGAAATGTTTCCTGCGCTCCATAAATTTCCTCCAACCGCAGCCGTCAAAGTGCCGGAATGTTCCCCGCGATCGTCGCACAGATTGCGCGCTGTGTTGCGAGGCCGCGGCGCAGTCAATTAATAAATGTCCTCCGTCATAATACGGCAAGATTCTTGGTGGTAAAAAAAGAACATACACATTTCCTCTGCCTGGTCTCCCCTTCAGCGTAAACCCTGGTCATTAATTACCGATATTGCTGCGATAATTGGCCACAAAGGTGATGTACTGCGACGCAGGGTGCCGGGGCGGGCAAACTGTGACCGGCGAGCGCGCGCCGCGGGGACGGGGGACAAGGAATTCGAAACCCGGCGGAGTTTGTTGCTCTCTTTCGCTTCTGTCTCCTTGGCCGCTTGGCCTTTTTGACGGGCCAAAGTTGACTGATCTTGGGCGCTAATTGCTGAGGGTTTCGCTGGGGTAGGTGCGGGGTGACTGATTAGGAATGTGTTGGAGATTTTGACGTGGTTTTGCTCCTGCAGATAGGAAGGAGAGGGAGGGGGTACAAAACCGTAACTTCGGTTCAAGATGTTATGGTTGTCAATAATTCCTCCCGAGTGAACACTTCTTTCCTTGGAAGTAATTTTATGATGAGTATAATGGCAGTATTACTTCAAGCACTGTAAAATATGTTTACGAGGATTTTAATACACAATCTTATAAAAACAAATCGCTCTTTCCACAACGTGTAGGCCTGCCGTTTCTTTAGTGATTAATTCAAACTTTGTCTCGTGTGATACCATTAACTCTGTGGTACCGCCTTGACTTTGCTCCGGTCTGAATAATTTGTTTCTTCTTACAATAACAGCGAGCTGTGTATAGAGTGTATCATTTAGCGATATTTCAAGCAGGTTTGGCAGCCTTTGCGGCCGAACTATGCGGTGAGGTTTACATTGGCGTAAAACAATCACCAGGGTCAACTCAATTTAAACATATTTGCCGGGCCATTTACAAACGGGCAGGTTCGTGTTTTATGAGGACGGTGGTACGATGAGCGCTAGCGCGTCAGGAGGAAGCATGCCGTGGGAGGCCACGGCACGCCCGACCCGGGGCAATCCATCTCCTCGGTACGTCCGTCGCCGAGCTCGTTTCGCGGTGAAGAAAATAAAAATCGATGACACGGCTATTAAACATCGCACGGTCTAAAACATTCGTTATATCTCCTTGACGCATTTGGGCCTCACCCATCTGTAAAAAAAAACTGGGTTGCGCTTGTAAACAATGCCAGAGACGTACGTGTGGGCTTCGTCAAGTTTTGTCCGCGACAGTTTCAACAGCTCGTTGAATCACTCGCCAAAAAAGCTGATAAATTGAGGAAGTTCAAAAGTCCTTTCCACAAGTCCGTGGGTGATTGTTCCCCATCCAAATCCCTCACCGTGCCATGCCTAGCGGCTGACGGGACACGCGCCCGCTCACCAGGCGTAGGCCTTTCAGAAAGGTCACGCCGTTGAAATAATAATGATCGCATTAAAAGTTTCTGCCTTGCTCTTTTGCCCTGCAAAAATGTTGCATGGCAAATCGATTTGGGGACGTAATTATTTGACAGTCAGTATCATTACATTGGCAAATAATGTGAAGAAGTGTATTGACGATTGTGCAAGGAAAGTCTGTTCATTTCATGCAGTATTTCAAACGGCATATGTTGCAGTTGGTATATACGTCCTATAACTTTGAGTGTTCTGAATCCGTTCCTTCGTTGCGCTTGCACTCGGCATGATCATGCCGACACACAACGTGTGCGCTCGTGAATACCATTAAAATGCAGACCAGAAAATTGCCATAGGCCTAGAAAGGGGAAATATGTACAACTCCCGGAGGTGTTCCACAAACCTTCTGAATAATTTGTGTGTTAACCAGTAACCTTTTACTGATTTTCCCCTTCAACTGTAAAAGAAGTAATGAGGCCCTTCGTTATACTTTCTTTTGTTTGTAAACATTGGCGTAATTTTATATGGGCTGCCGCAAGCGCATAAATTGAAGCCGTGGTTGGCAACATATCTTTCCAAAAAAAGGCCTCATAACGCCATCAATACTTAGCAAAAAGGTAGGAATTATTTCGTAGCTTTGTTGACAACGTTGTATTTCCAACAATCAAATTATGTTTTTGGTTATCTGTAATAACTCTTCTTCATTTTTGCAGTGTTGGACCTTCCATAGTTTTGCAGCCCAAGGTTGGCAACATTTGCAGTTTGCCAACAAGCGTATAAAGGTCTATTAAGAAAAATGATACCGCCATTTTTGAAAAATTATCCTGCCATTTTGAAAAAAAGTAAGATCCTTACTCTGGTGTGAAATAAAGACAGGCACCATTGCCTTGGACTCACCAGTGGGTGCCAGCGAAATAGGTACCTGAGAGCGCAACGCAAAATATCCGTTACTGTTATAGCGTGTATTTATCGGACCTCTGTTGACCTGTGTTGACCTTTTGACCTGTGTTGACAGGACTTGGGCCAGGGCGGCACCCGGGTAGACCCCCGTGGGAGTTGGCTGTCGTTCGTCCAGCACTCCTCCAGGCTCTCCGAGGGCAGCAGCAACAGCAAGAAGTGCGAGAAGAAGAAGAAGAAGAAACGGGAGAGAGAAGACCCGGGCAACTCCAGGAAGCTGGTAAGCTTGGCCCGACTTGGAATCGGGGACCAATTGCTGACTCTACACCAATCGTCGCTAAAATCTCAGTCAAAAAAAAATTATGGCAACGCCCACCGATGAGCAAAGACAATGAGTAGAATATAATAAACATTATGCGTATAGCGGCCATCTTAGAGGGAATCTTTTATTATTTTAATTGAATCATTTCAGTAATATTAAAAGTGGATGCACAAAAGGTTCACTCGTATGCATGCATATCCCAGCAAAACAAAGGCACTGCCCTCTAAGATGGCTGCCTACGCAGAAGGTCTATAAAGCCCAGATTCCCTTGAACGGATCCGGTTTTGACTCAAGAGGGGGTTTATCTCACTATTGGGGTGGGCTAGCAGGTATTATGTGAACTTTTCCCCCTGTTAGTTTCCTTTTTGCGGGCCAAGGGAGTTAAAGCCAAACCCACCCCTACTGAATTCCTAGTTTACTGAATTTTGGCTCAAATCACTATAGTGTGCATTTCGCGCCTAAATTGATCTCTTTCACAATTTCACTGCTAGAAGTTGAAGTGCAAGCTGTATTTTGATACCAGTGCTTACTGGAACGCCAGTTAAATGTTCTACCTGGCTTTATACAGCAGACCTAAGTAACAAATGAAAACTCACAGGCATGTGTCAGGCTATGGGTCCATTAGAAGGTAAAAGAGACTGAATTTCATAAGAAGCTTGTAGTCACATACGTCACCGGTGCTGTGGTCAGTAATGCGGAATGGTACCCCACCACAAGTCGCCAGAGGAACTTTTGAGTAAAAACCTTCTTGTATTAACTTTTGTTTAACAAATACTGCAGTTGAAATCCATAGGAATGGTCAACACGGTCATTCACACAATATTTGCACGATAGATCAAAATAATAATATATCAAATAAAGGGAAACGCTTGCCTTTTGTACTACACACGAAAACTAAAGGCAAAGACGCCCTCCGATTTCGTGGGATCATGTCACGTGTTGTTGTTTGTCGCCACCAAGCGGTGAATGAGTCAGTCGCGGTATATAAATAGTATACGTGTTGTATGATTTATTTTTCTCATCTCAGTCACCTGCACCCCTTCAGACGATCGAAATCGAAAACAATGACTTCTTTTTCGTTCAGTGTTGCCATTCTAAACCCTTTTGTTCCACTAATCCCCTCGGTATCATCTGACGTGATTATCATTTCTGTCATGGCTCCTCAGTCAGTCTCTCACCCGGGTTTTTTTGACGGAAATATTCAATTTGGCGCGGGCCCGTTAATAGCGCGCACAAGTCTACGGAGACACGGGGTGACCCCGGTTGTGTATTTTTGGAGGCGAGAAAGTGAGGGGCCCAGGGGCTTACCGAAGGCGGAAGCCTCTTAAGTAGCGACAACATTGTCTAGTCCTCGGGATCGTTAAAACAAGTAAGAGATTCCGCTGCTTGAGACACGTTAAGCCAGGGCCTAGTGAGTGACGGCCCAGGAGGGGGCGGGGTATCCAACTCACTGGAAGGGGTGTCAAGATTTTTGTATGGTCGCCTTCAGCCCCTCACCATTGTCTCTAAATGTTTTCAAGATGCAAAATCATGTCAACACTCGGTTGATAATCTTTCCCTTCTTTTCATTTTTGTTGGAGTGATCGCATGAAATTGGGTGACATTCCTGTGCTACATGGTGACCACTCTTAAAGGGCCCATGCAATGTAATTTGTTTAATGCAATCCTTGAAAATGCACCTTTGTGTCCCATAATCTCTATTTTAATGTCTCGTTTTGCCATTTCAAGGGTACTTTGGTGCCTTTTTGTTTTTTATGCTGATGCAAATTTCCATATTCATGAGCAAAAGTGTGATTTCAGGCAGAAACCTCAATGTTGCAACTAGTTTCAGCACTGAAAGTTGTCAGAATTTTGGATATTTCGCCGTCGTTAATTTTCTTTTCTTTAGTGATTCGTTGTTGTAATCAATACATGGCAGTAAGCCAATGAGCGAACGTTTCTCTCAAACGTTTTCCATGAACAAATGTTTGGGTTCACAATTTGAACAGAAAACATGAACAATGTCTTCCTGAAATGACATCACAGCAACAGCGCCCTCGGTTGTCCGTAAAAGCATTGACAGTTTATAATGTTTCAAGATGTGCACTTTTCAATAAAATTAACCCAAAGGGAGTCAAATATTTTTCACACATCTTAGAGGATTAAAAAGTTGCATAAACTATCTTTCTATAAAGAAATACTCACTTCATGGGCCCTTTAAAAGCAGCCGTGGAGAAACTCGCCATGTTGACGAACCCCTCCATTCCATTGCAAAATGGAGCCACATTATGAGACCGGGACTAGTTGCTAACATTTGTCGGTGTTGTACCCTCTTCACTAATAGACAATACTTATTTGCCTGTTCACCATACTAACATTTTACCCCGTGAAAAAAGGGGTTTCTAGAATCCTTGAACTGTACCAATAGCCACACCCAAATTTGTTGACGCGCATTACGATGACTCTGCAGCTATAGCTCAGAATCTCCCTCAAAGTTTTAATTCCATCTTCCTCGGAACAACAAGAAGAATTGAACCGATAAAGAAAAATCGTGGATTAGATCACGATCGTGATCTTATATCTGTCTGTGTCTGGTTTAACCCTATTATTAAACGGATACAAGAGCTATCCTAAACAACCCCAGCCTCGGGTTATGTCGTTCGCCGGGCAACGCCCGCCTGTCGCATCTATTTCTGGGTCGTTCTCATTTGAGATTATAAGTTCCTTTAATTCTATTAAAGTGATAAGGACAGAGTCGGACATCATCGCAACGCGTTATTCGGTCGCACAGAGCCTTTGTGTGTTTTCCATTGATACTTTAGGAACATTTAAAGGGAATGTACAGCATTTGCACACATCAAAAACAAAACTACCAAATTATACTGGACTGTTAATGAATGACAGTCTAAAGCATCCTGTAAACTCATGGCACCTGGCGTGCTGACATTTTCAAGAAAAGTGGTATTTTTGTATCAATTTCCAATGCTGGTCGGACGGCCAGCGTTGGTGGACACAAGTTGATGTGGTGGACACAAGATGTAGTTGACACAAGTTGAAGACGCTGTTTGGATAGGCAAGATTCTGATGTGTTTGCCGAAATCGATCTACATAGTGCAAACAGCGCCCTCCTATTGTGTCCGCAATTATAAAAAAAAAAAAACCGAAAAAAGACCCAGGTCCGATTGTATTGAAGCTTGGTAGATGCACCCAGCATGTGTTTGTAGTCAGCAGATTGAACAAAAAATGTGTTATCAGACAGCCGAGATCTGAGGGGAAGGGTGGAATTTCCGTCCCACCCCGACTTTGATAACGTAAAAACGGTTCTCTTTAAGTTTAAGTCGGCTCGTCTTGTATTTTTCGACATTTTTTTCAGCCTTTAACTTCGGGCAATCTTTTTAAAACTTCACAATGTTCAACGACGTGTACCGTCGAGCATTGCAACTCTTTCGGAGCGCGAAATTCTCATTCTATTTTTTGGTGTCGCCACTTTCAGATCTCGATACAGATCATTGAGTCGCTTTCGCAATCGCGTGGAAAAGGGTGCAGATAAATCGGCCTTTGGATAATAATTACATAGACAAGGGCAACACTGGGTCGGTGAAAGATTTATCGTCGGTCTGTCATGGAATGTGCCACCAAAAACAACAACATCACACCTCCCTGATACCTCTCATATACAGCTGAACACGCCCCACGCCGAACGCCCTTCGTTGTCTGACCCGTACGGGATATTGCACATATCTCGCGCGCGACGGCGTGTTCTTTGACACCATAAACTTCCGCGGCAGCCACGGCCGCGATGATAGATGCACGTGGCCCCGTAAAAACAACGGGGGCCGCTGGGAAGTCGAATTAAGAGCCAATTAATAAAGCTGACAACCGCGTCCGCTGATGCAATGATTTCATCTGCTGCTAGAGGAGGACGGCCTTTGCGCTCGCTAGCATTATATAGACCTTGCAGCCACTATTTCAGACATGTTCCCCTGTATCCAATAGCAGTACTGAATGACGTTAATTTTTTTTTGGTGCAAGAAGGAACCCGACTATTTTTCCTGCCAGCCTCGCTTTGGTTACATCGATTGGAATGGGAAAAAAATCAAATGGCTGCAACATGATATTGACAGTTCAGAAGAATCGACCCGTTTGCGAGTCGGCCATCTTGAATCGAAAGCGAGGCAAACAATGCATATGTTTTAAGAGAGGGGGAACAAAAGTCAAGATAAAGAAATGAAGATATAGACATTGATATGAACCGTAATTTTCCCATGGTGAATAATTCAAATTGTTGAATAACAAGCCATCATTTTTTGCCCGAGATGAAAAAAAAGTGTTTTATGTTTAATTAACTGAAGAAAATTCATTGATTTAACAATGGCCGGTACTGAGAAGCGCCCTCTCTCGAAAAAAAATAATACATGTATTGACCTCCTATTTTTGTCCCCTTTATTTTGTCCAGTCTGAGGTTGTACCCACCGGGTTGGTGGGCCCCCAAGGGCCGCCTGGCCCGCCAGGCCCGCCCGGCACACAGCTGTCAAAAGAGGAACTACTCGAAGAATTCAGGGATCTTATAAAAGGTAAGACATACATTGTATTCTCCGTTTTTTAAGACACACTAGACAGTTTATAGTCAATGGCATATTCGAAACATCGGCATCGTATCCAGTTCGGCTTCGGCCAGAAGCCTCCAAGCAGTTAGTAGCATTCCGTATTTGACGTAATTCAATGAAGTTAAACTTTCACGATCTATATGTTTTCTTGTTGCCGGAGCAGGACATGGAAACATTATCGAAATTGATTTTCCATTCAACGGGCTTAAAGTCAATTGAAGCCACAGCTGGATACAGGCCGAGGTTTCGTAAGCGCCAAAATGAAGATCAGACAATGCCTTTTTTAACAGCATGTGATCAAAAGAGGGCAGTATATCAATATTTATAGTACAGGTTTTAAACTGTGATTACTTTGTTTTTCTGCAGAGGCCGCGGAAAGACGGGCCCAGATTATAGTTCAAGAGAAAGTAAGTAAAAACCTGAGCCTTACCCTTCGAAAATCTAAGAATGACTCTTCATAAAACTGATTCCCTGATAACATGAAAATCGAACTTTTAATTGAGCCAAAAAAAAAAAGTCGCTCCAAAAATTGTAAGTGATTCTGCAAACAAAGTGCATGCAATTTATTGTTGAATGTTTTATGCTCCATTTATTTCTGGTAATGTATACGGGCACCGATTTCTAAAAACTTTCAAAACGGTACAGTAAGGTGGACATTTAAAACATCAAATTAAAGCTTTCTGTTTCACTTTCTGTTCTGTAGATTTGGAATATATTATGTAATATTCACACGGTTTCTATCCAACCTCTCATTTCCAAATCGAAATATGTTCCCCGGCCTTGATCCGAGCAAGGGCCAACGATTGCCTTAAGTCGAAAACGCAGGACTGTTCTAAAATGACTATACCCAGCATGATGTGTGACAGAGGGGTACCCCCCCATCTCCGATACCCTATACACACCCTAGACTATTGTTACCTATAACCACCAGGTATCTCAAAAAAAAAAATCCTGAGATTCTGGTAGCGCAATGACCAACACAATTAGGAGGGGGAGGGGTTCCCTCTGTCACATATCCTGCTACATTATTCAAACTTAACATGGTTTGAGGGTGGACAGTCGATATTCACTCCCCGAGGTATTGGAAGTTGACAAACTAGTTCCCGAGGCGTCTACTTTGTCAACTTCCAATGCCGAGGGGAGCTAATATCGACTGTCCACCCGAAATAAACCATGTTATTATTTGTTTTACTATACCCCATACATATTCAGCTGCCGATTTTTTCTTTCGATGCAGTATGCAACTCAAACAAAATCATCGGAGAAACTTGTCCAGCTCACCAAACGAATATTTATAATGATCCTCTATACCTGCGATGGGAAAAAAAATCCCTAATGATAATCCCTATTTCCAAAAGGATAACAAACCTCGCAAGCCCCCCAAAAGAATACCACCCCGTTTCGGAAATGCTCTTTCCAGAAGAGTGAAAAGAAAACCAGATCGGATTTTACGCTGAGGGTATTTATGCCCGGAGTTTGTAAAGATCGGGCCGGCAGAGAGCAGCTGCCCTTTAAGCTGTCACACCTGTCTACAAAATGTAGGCCGGGATCTGGATTAGAGGTTAATCCCGCGGCCTAATCCAAAACTAATCCTCTTTTCGTCGCCGACACGCCTTCCTGAAGCCGTAGGAATTTCGACGGTATAGTTCCGCGCATTCCTTTGGCCTCTGTTATTATTTTTTTTGGCAGAAGGTTGTGGCTCCATGCAGCCACTGTGCGAAATTGATGAGAAAAATCGTGAATTTCCACGATAAAAACAATTTTTTTATTTTGTAAAACACAATTCTTAAACCATCAAACCCTGACAGTGTTGTACGTGTACATTCAAAGTAAAGATGCTCAAACTGCAGCAAAAACGTTTGGGAAACGGAAGATTTACTTCTTTATCATTTTGCCATTCTAACTGATGTCCTTACTCCCCCAGTGCCCAAGTTGCGTTGCCAATACCAGCCAAGTGTGGCTGCTCACAGTGAACGATGACATATTGATGCCGCACCTGCCCATAGCGTTCCACTGTAAGCTCAGAGGGGGTGTGGACGTACCAAAGAAGAGCCTGATCGAAGTCTCGAATTTTCAAACTGTAAGTATTAAGAAAAAAGGATCACGTGCCCGACATTACATTAATTATACTGTTCACCATGGGACGTTGTTCACCCAACTGTTGAAAAATTTCCAGTAAGTTTTTAAATAAATGTTTCACGAAGCCGTAGCGGACTTTCGAACAACGCCAAGTGTTTGTGTTTAAAAAAATACACATTTTCAAATTACAATTCTATTTCTTAGCATAGGAAAAGTTTTGAGATTGAATGCACGCTCACCTAAGTGTGTAAACACCTTCAATCGGGGACCCCCTATTGTCCCTCTTTTGTTTGTACTCTAACTTTTTAGGAAGACCTCTAATATGTTATACACGATCATCAATTGTGGACCTTCGGGAATTGTGGAGTGTGGACCTATTGTCCTCTTTTGTTCAACGTCCCCTATTTAATGCAAAAACAAACTCACACACAGTCGTGTTTTACATAACTCCTGGGGACAAACAATTGTCTTTTCCTTTGTCCCTGTAATATAACACTCTTCCGCACGATCGAGGACCTTTTTCAATAAAAGATGAAAGATCGAGGTGAACAAAGAATCTCTTGTTCTCCCTTTGTCTGTCGGTCCTCGGGATGTTTGTATATAGTGGACGCCCACAAGCGATGAAATAAGTTTCGATTTGATTTTGCATGAAGATTTTTAATCCTGTTCTTTGAGCAAAAAACAATATCATTCATGGGATATGATGACTCATTTATGACAGCCGTTCTCGGATGGTTCGTTCCGGCGGGGCGACGGGATGGACGTACGGTCGGGTCGCTTCACCGCACCGCGGGCCGCCATCTACCAGTTCTCGGCAAACCTGCACATCCACCACCCGGTGTCGTCCAAGCGGATCGAGGAGCTACGCCACCGGGACAATCTACGGCTGCTCATCTGCATCAACTCGCTCTGCCAACGGCACACGTAAGTCCCTCAATAGACCTTGTTTCACGAGGAAGCCATGTCGATCGTGTTCCCTGAATCTGTTTTATAAATTGTAAACTGTTGAATGAGATGGTGCCAGACTCAAGCCTCACTTTCAATTAATTTTCATGTGTGGCTTTTATCATTAGGGTGTATTTAATGACAAATTTTAACTTATTTATATGAGCAGACTGGTATTAATTTGAAGTGAACTTTTATTTCATTGCCCTCATCTCTACTCGCAAATCCCCAAAATGAAGAGTTTACCTCGCCTACAATTTAATATGGCCAACTCGTGAATAAAATACATTAGCCTTTTTGCGGATGGTGGATAAAATAGGCAGTGCGCTAGTGGGTAGATTTGGGTAAAGACAAACGAGTTTTATCCAAAACGAATAGGGCCAACCTATTTCGTCAACCATAATTATCTCAAAAAAATGCTAATAGTCTCATCAAAACGTTAGTGGGACTTAGAAACATCAGCTTTTCTTCCACGTACACACTTATGTAAAATACTACTGTTTTGCTCGCGTAAAAACATTCATTGAACCCGTGTTACAGGTTCACCAAGAAAGAATTTTTGTTTTGATCGCTGGTATGTCTTTCACACGCAACGCCTTATGAAGTAGAATTCTATTTTGACTTTCTTCTTTTCTCGATAGGTCCCTCGAGTATATATCCGGACTGGAGAGTAACAGCAGGGTGTTCACCGTCAACCTTTCCGGCTTACTGCAGCTAGAGGTAGGCAGGGTACCAGACGTCATTACAGACGCCATCTCCTAAGGTTACAGATCAAATGTTAATTCAGTTGCAATAGAGCCTTAAAGTAAAAAGTCTTGGGGCGAACTTCTGGATCTCTCGCGCGGCCCGCCTATGGGCATTTTACACGGGGTTGCCCTATCACCTGCTGTAAGTTTTGATGATTTCTAACCGTAATCACCCCAAGAAACATTCATGTTGGAATTTTATCTTGGTGTTCCTGAGGAAAAAAATGTTAAGAAATAACTTGGAGTTTGGTGAAAACGAATTTTACTTTAATACAACCTTTCACATGCGGCTTTTTCGTTCCTAGGTCTCCTTGTTCGTTCACGTTTGCTTTCACATCGCGTACTTGCGCGAGAACAATAATTTATAACGACGAGAATATTTATCTACTTACAGCCGATGGATTCTAGATTTAGTTGGGCTGGCTTGCATGCAGTCCTCATCAGCGGTCATTACATATTTTTGTTTGTAAATGCTAATGAGTCCTTAAAGTTTGTTTAAAAAAATGTATATCCCCAAAGACATTAGTCTCCTATTTAAGTTCCAGTTTTCACCCATCCCAATGACCGCCACAAAACTATTTCATAAATGTTCATCTTCGTCGTACGAGTACACCGAGTTCCACTAGTCCACAGATATTTTAGATTTTCGGAAATGAGAGGTCTTTTTTGGCGCGATATTTCTCTGTCGCGTCAGGCGATTTTTCAGTTTCCATAAATTGACATTCTAGTTACAATTTTAAAAAAGGCCTTTTTTTCCAGGATAATTTTCGTAAGAAATTGCACAATCTTTTATAATTTCTCACGTTAACTTTCCTATTCCAGGGGTCCGGAAGCGCGCCACCAGGGGTGAACTTTCAGGCTCTGTAAACACCAACGATAAATCCCCTCACTTACTAATTCAATCTAGAGAGATTTTTTGGTCCAATTTCATGCAACATCCTCAGAAAACATTGAAACATAAATTATGTAGGTATACGTTACAAACCTAAGATCCCGTCTGTCTGTAACCCGGGCTCCGCTATCGTCGTTACATCCCCATGGTTCGTTCGAGAAATATGATCGTATTTCATTTTTGTGTCATATATGTTTCTTGTCCACAGGCCGGTCAGTATGCTTCGATCTACGTGGATAACAGTTCAGTGCAGAGGATCACAGTACAGGCCGGATCTGATTTTACAGGACTGCTCATGGGTGTCTAGCACCCTCTCACGCTCTTCTTTGGACATTTTGGCCCAACGGACTGGTTAATTTCCGCACACTGGGGTCTCAGCTGTTCAGCAATACTGGTAGGCACTAGTTATGGTGCCGTGGATTTCGTACGCTAATTAGGGCATGTGGCAACTATTACGTGCTCCGATTGGACCAAGGATTATTCATTATTAGTCACGTGATTCAGTCGCACCGGACTCCAGGAAAGCCAGTTGTATGTTAAGACTACTACTGCAAATAGTAGTCTTGATTCCTGTCTGGGCATTTAACACTTTGTTAAATGCACAAAAAAACTAACCAGAATATTGGTTCGACGACTGGCGAGTTCAATTTCATATTTTGCTTTAAGCACGGTGCTGTCCCTTGGTTGTTGACCAGCATTTGGTTTTGAGTCTAGCTTCGCAATGACAGAAACCCTTCAGTATAATGACAGTGCTTAGGCGCAATTAACAAACGGGTGGAGATATATCTGATCTTAAACATGTGAACTCATCAACAAAACTGGTTGGGTTTATTGCCCACACAAAAAAATACGTGATATGACCTCGAGTCGAGACCTAAAAGGAACCTGCTTCTTCTTCTTTTAATAGTGTAAATAACGTGTACCATGTAAATAAATGGAAAATTACCTTGTAGAATTTAGTTCAACGAAAACTGTTATGATTTGAAAACACTGCCAGCGAAAGAAAAAGTGACTATTTTAAATCAGTGTTCGCGTATTATTGTTCCTTTTTTGTTATTCAGCGGCCCTACAGTATTAAACGAAGAAACAAATCCATGTACTTAAATAAAAATCAGTGTACGCTATATTTGTGAACTTCAACTGCAGAAAAGTTGAAGTAATGTGAATATTTTGGAAAAAAAATATTACGAAATATTTATTTCCACGATTTTTCTGGTTTCATTGTTTTTTTTTTATGAAACTTAAACATTGAAATGAAACTCAGATCGAAACCTTATTTGTGTGGTTTTGAAAAATGTGAAGTAAATTGTTATTTCATTTATTTATTTCAACTGTACAGCGGATTAAAAATACTTTGCGTCTTGCAAAAGTTCTAGAAAATGAATAATATTTCGCGGAAGGTCTTCTAAATTTTATTTTATTTTCGTTTTTTGAAGAAATTATTTATCGCTGTGAAGTTGTCACTCAGTTTGTTTTCTGCTGAAACAGATTTTCATTTTGGCTGAACATAATAGTTTAAAAGAACTAAATAAATATATAAATGAAATTTGATTATTGGTCCTGTTAAACTTATATAAAATGCCCCCAAAGATTTTGATGTTTAAATAATTACGCTTGAACATGTATTGAAATGTATAAAACTTAACGATAATTTGTATTTACACCTTTGTCCGATACTGCCATTTTAAAATGACCTAGTATTTTACGTGTACGTCAGCATGTTTTGTTATATATTTCATTATTGTATGCCCTTTCTTTAAGTGTCATATTTATACTTTATTCTTGAAGAGTCGCTCGACGCATCTCCAAAAGGAAGCCGAAATAATATAATGAACAAAATTTGCCACCCAAATAATAACTACAGGGTGAGTAAAAAACCCAATGAAGTTCTGCATGCAGCGCTTTAAAAGTCTAGGATATAAAAGCCCAATTAATAAGCTTTCTTATAGTACAAGAATAATTCAAATCACTCTTCAAGTTACGGAATTTTGGACACAAACACCGTTTTAAGGTTCTGTCTACGGATCACATTAAAGGTAAGTGTTTTTTTTTTCCAGCAAACCCAGTGAATTGTTTTCGTTTGGCTGAAAGAACGATAACCATTTTTGGTGATCCGTGGACAGAAGTTTAAAACTGTGTTTGTGTTTAAAATACAGTAACTTGAAAAGTACATGAGTGATTTAAATGAGTCTTGTACTAAAAGAAAGCTTATTAATTTGGCTTTCATTACCTAGATTTTGAAGTGCTACATGAAGAACGTCCTGCCAATGGGGTTTCCTTTTTCTTTTCTTTTTTAACTCACTCTGTATGCAGATTAATTGCACCAGTGCTTGTGAAATGTATTTTTTTAAGCAGCTGCTGAAAAGTAAAAGGAAAACAAAGAAAGTGAAAAGAAAACAAAAAACAGCTGAAGATACTTGGTGTGCGTCCGATGAAATAGACTTGCAAGTTTATCCAACATTATTGGAGTACATGTACATGTACTAGCATGTTCGAAGTTGCAAACTTATTGATTTAAAAAGGACGTCGTTGCGTTCCAAGGTGGTTTTTCCCCTTTTACTGAAACTTTTTACCCAATCTGTTTCACGTGATCACTCAATTTCCTTCAAGTCTGCACTTTTTTCCAGAAATATTTATTGAAATAAGGTGTTCATTTGTGCAGCAAAACAGGCAATTGCCACTAAAAGTCAGTCGTCGCCGGCGCACAGAGCGTTTAGAAAACTGTATTATTTTATGGGGAAAATGTAGATAAGTATTATTTAATTGTTTCAGATCGACACATTGTTATTCCTTAAAGAGGCTTATACATTGGCATGCATTATTATAACGATGTGATTGTCAAGTTAGCTTTTTTTACGTCACCATACTGAGTTAAACTATAATATTGAGATAGATCTGACTAATGTCATTGAAAATACTAAAAATGATTAAATAATTCAGAGTTGTATATTGAATGTCGGTTATCCCGTTTCGTGCGCGTCATAATATAACTGCGTTTGCCTTAAGATTGTTTTGTTCGAATCACTGTGTGCATTCTTTCGATATATTCTTTGTAACTATAATGCAAGGGCGGATGCAGAACACAACTATTTTTGGGGCCGAAATAAATTCGGGTCCACAAATTTACGGCGTGGGGTTCGCGGCCCGCTTAAGGGCACGCCATTTTTTTTTTTTTAGATGCTCTGTGGTGCGATCTGAGGCAATTTCTGATCTAACCATTTTTTTTTAGGTGGTGGATGGAGTACGCAGTGGCTGCCTGTTTAGCGACGTCAATTAAAAACAACAACGGAAAATTGGGTTCGTTTTTTTTGCGGGGGGGGGGGGGGCATTGCCCCCTTTGCCCCCCCCCCATCCGCCGTTGTTATAATGTTGATGTTTCGATTTAGGAACGATGGTGTAATGACTTTAATAGTGCTGACGAGATCTTTATTGTTGTTTTTATGCTCGAATTTCGCATTATTTCAACACACAAGGTATTTCTTGAGTTATCCACCCAACAATTCTGCAACTTTAGAGAAGCCCATCTGTCCAGAAATCGAATTGGAATATGTTCTAGGGTCCTTTAGGCATATATCCGGCAAGTTTGAAGCAATTGGATTTTGTAACCAAAATTGAAAAAAAAAAAAAAACACAAGGCCTTACTTTTTTAACGAAATTTGGCCAAATATGGACGTTTCTCCAAACAATGCAGACATTCTTTTTAAGGCAAGAGGAGCATCAATCAACCTTCAAACACCAAAATAATATCGAAGATTTGGGCAATAATCATTTAGAAAAAAAGAATCATCATTTTTGACTGATTTTACCCCAAATTTTCGTCGAAATTTTATTTTGAGAAGCCCATCTGTCCAGAAATCAAATTGAGATGTGTCAAAGGGGCGTTGAGGCATCTTTCCAGCAAGTTTGAAGCAATTCGATTTTTTGGCCAAAATTGGAAAAAAACACAAGGGGTAAAACCTTACTTTTTTAACAAAATTTGACCAAAAATTGAATTTTCTCCAAACAATGCAGAAATTGTTTTAAGGGCTACAGGAGCATCAAATCAAGCTTCGAACACTCAATATTTTCAAGATTTGGGCAATACTCATCGAGATTTATAGAATAAAAATCATAATTTTTGACAGATTTCCCCCCAAATTTTCGTCGAAATTTCATTTGGAGAAGCCCATCTGTCCAGAAATCGAATTGAAATGTGTGAAAGGGGCGTTGAGGCATCTTTCCAGCAAGTTTGAAGCAATTCGATTTTTTGGCCAAAATTGGAAAAAACACAAGGGGTAAGCCTTACTTTTATAACAAAATTTGGCCAAAAATTGAATTTTCTCCAAACAATACAGAAATTGTTTTAAGGGCTACAGGAGCATCAATTAATCTTCGAACACTCAATATTTTGAAGATATGGGCAATAATCATCGAGATTTAGAGAAAAACAAATCATCATGTTTGACTGATTTTCCTCCAAATTTTGGTCGAAATTTCATTTTGAGAAGCCCATCTGTCCAGAAATCGAATTGAAATGTGTGAAAGGGGCGTTGAGGCATCTTTCCAGCAAGTTTGAAGCAATTTGATTTTTTGGCCAAAATTGGAAAAAAACACAAGGGGTAAGCCTAACTTTTTTAACAAAATTTGGCCAAAAATTGAATTTTCTCCAAACAATGCAGAAATTGTTTTAAGGGCTAGAGGAGCATCAATCAAGCTTCTAACACCAAATATTTTGAAGATGTGGGCAAAAATCATCGATATTGAGAGAAAAAAATTCTCATTTTTGACTGATTTTACCCGAAATTTTCGTCGAGATTTTATTTTGAGAAGCCCATCTGTCCAGGAATCGAATTGAAATGTGTGAAAGGGGCACTGACGCATTTTTCCAGCAAGTTTGAAGCAATTTGATTTTTTGGCCGAAATTGGAAAAAAACAAGGGGTAAACCTTACTTTTTTAAAGAAATTTGGCCAAAAATTGAATTTTCTCCAAACAATGCAGAAATTGTTTTAAGGGCTACAGGAGCATCAATCAAGCTTCGAACACTCAATATTTTAAAGATTTGGGCAATACTCATCGAGATTTATTGAATAAAAATCATAATTTTTGACTGATTTCCCCCAAATTTTCGTCGAAATTTCATTTGGAGAAGCCCATCTGTCCAGAAATCGAATTGAAATGTGTGAAAGGGGCGTTGAGGCATCTTTCCAGCAAGTTTGAAGCAATTCGATTTTTTGGCCAAAATTGGAAAAAAACACAAGGGGTAAGCCTTACTTTTTTAACAAAATTTGGCCAAAAATTGAATTTTCTCCAAACAATACAGAAATTGTTTTAAGGGCTACAGGAGCATCAATCAAGCTTCGAACACTCAATATTTTAAAGATTTGGGCAATACTCATCGAGATTTAGAGAAAAACAAATCATCATGTTTGACTGATTTTCCTCCAAATTTTCGTCGAAATTTCATTTTGAGAAGCCCATCTGTCCAGAAATCGAATTGAAATGTGTGAAAGGGGCGTTGAGGCATCTTTCCAGCAAGTTTGAAGCAATTCGATTTTTTGGCCAAAATTGGAAAAAAACACAAGGGGTAAGCCTAACTTTTTAAACAAAATTTGGCCAAAAATTGAATTTTCTCCAAACAATGCAGACATTGTTTTAAGGGCTACAGGAGCATCAAATCAAGCTTCGAACACTCAATATTTTCAAGATTTGGGCAATACTCATCGAGATTTATTGAATAAAAATCATAATTTTTGACAGATTTCCCCAAAATTTTCGTCGAAATTTCATTTGGAGAAGCCCATCTGTCCAGAAATCGAATTGAAATGTGTCAAAGGGGCGTTGAGGCATCTTTCCAGCAAGTTTGAAGCAATTCGATTTTTTGGCCAAAATTGGAAAAAAACACAAGGGGTAAGCCTTACTTTTTTAACGAAATTTGGCCAAAAATTGAATTTTCTCCAAACAATGCAGAAATTGTTTTAAGGGCTACAGGAGCATCAATCAAGCTTCGAACACTCAATATTTTAAAGATTTGGGCAAAAATCATCGAGATTTATAGAACAAAAATCATCATGTTTGACTGATTTTCCTCCAAATTTTGTCGAAATTTCATTTTGAGAAGCCCATCTGTCCAGAAATCGAATTGAAATGTGTGAAAGGGGCGTTGAGGCATCTTTCCAGCAAGTTTGAAGCATTTTGATTTTTTGGCCAAAATTGGAAAAAAACACAAGGGGTAAGCCTTACTTTTATAACAAAATTTGGCCAAAAATTGAATTTTCTCCAAACAATACAGAAATTGTTTTAAGGGCTACAGGAGCATCAATCAAGCTTCGAAGACTCAATATTTTGAAGATTTGGGCAATAATCATCGAGATTTAGAGAAAAACAAATCATCATGTTTGACTGATTTTCCTCCAAATTTTGGTCGAAATTTCATTTTGAGAAGCCCATCTGTCCAGAAATCGAATTGAAATGTGTGAAAGGGGCGTTGAGGCATCTTTCCAGCAAGTTTGAAGCAATTCGATTTTTTGGCCAAAATTGGAAAAAAACACAAGGGGTAAGCCGAACTTTTTTAACAAAATTTGGCCAAAAATTGAATTTTCTCCAAACAATGCAGAAATTGTTTTAAGGGCTACAGGAGCATCAATCAAGCTTCGAACACTCAATATTTTCAAGATTTGGGCAATACGCAACGAGATTTATTGAATAAAAATCATAATTTTTGACAGATTTCCTCCAAATTTTCGTCGAAATTTCATTTGGAGAAGCCCATCTGTCCAGAAATCGAATTGAAATGTGTCAAAGGGGCGTTGAGGCATCTTTCCAGCAAGTTTGAAGCAATTCGATTTTTTGGCCAAAATTGGAAAAAAACACAAGGGGTAAGCCTAACTTTTTTAACAA